GCACCCTCTCTGCGCTACTACTCAAGTGGGGTGTAACGAGTCACAAGCCTTGTTAAGCAATTCAGTGTTGCATTTTCTGATGAGCAAACACCCAAATACCAAATCTTTGGGCGTTAACACATCCTCAATCGTTGAATGAAAACACTGATTAAAATTCATTTTTCTGGATGTGAGCAAACTGACGTCTTCATAAGCCCATCGGAAAGGGCTCTTGATTCTGGAGGAGCTCTGAAGGAGAATCCTGTGAACCTCCATCTAGAAAGCCAAAAGGCTTTTACAGCAAACTATCCAGGAAAACCTCTCAGGCAAAGCAACACAGAGGCTCCTGGAGGTGCTTTGTGTTTTCTGTTTGTTGACTCTCAAGAAGCATTCCCAAAAGTGCCCCAGCACACTTTTTTTTTAAAACCACAAACAAACAATGATCCCAGTCAAGAGTTTTCTTATGCTTTTCCTTATGACAGTTACCACGAGTGAAGAAAAATGACCAATGTATTAATTTTTGCTTCCACTTCAAACATGCAAAAAGCTATTATGTCCAAATCACACATTTATTCAGACAGACAAGTTCTCCGTTGCACAACAAGGTCCACAGAGGAAAAGGCATTTTCTACCCTCAGAACAGAACTGTGTGCACAAGCAGGGTCTGCTTGCAAAACTCTAGCCCTTCTTTGTATGGTTTTATCCTCTTTACTTTAAATCAAGAAGTCCCAAGCCCAACTCCAGCAATTTCTCATCAAGTCAACCAAAACCCTGTTGTTACATGAGGTGTTCTCAAACACAGAAAACCCCCTGTAATACATAGAAGACTATCAGTCTGAACTATATTGCTATTTTTTCTGCGCATGCAGCTCACTTTTCTTCCTGGCTTCTATAGGCAATCTGTAATTTATTTTAACCAAAAATCATGAAATTTGGTGACAAACAGCAATTTAGAACATATTTACTTTTGCACCTTTTAAAAATCTGACAAAAATGTGAGTGGTAATTTGTTATAAGCCATGGAAAATGAAGTGAAAAGGTGCCCATAAAGAAAAACCCAAAACACTTTTCCTAAATAATTCTTGTAAATACAGAAGGAATGAAACACCAAAAATAATGGCACTCTTTAATACTGTTCTTTTGGAAAGTCAAATCACAATCAACATGTAAAATATGAGCTGGGCAGGAACTCCTGTGGTGGGTAGCATAGCTCATTGTAGCACACGAATTTAACCTGCCAAGAAAATACGACTGGTTAATGGGAGGCCAGATGTTGCAAAAACCCTTTTCTGGAGTTTATGGAGAGTTCGGGGTCAGGGGTTTGGAGGAGCACCCTGCCTGGACGGACCCAGGGTATACTCTTGCCTGGCATTTTGCAGGAGGCTGCTCAGCCCCACCGTCCCAGTGCTCGGGAACACCTCTAGGGCCGGAGTGCAGGGGAGGAGAGGAGGAAGCGCGCCACCCTCGCCCTGCTCTGGTTCGGTCGTGGTCTCCCTGGATGCTGGGGCGAAAGCCAAGGCCTGCCTGCGTGCGAGAGCTGTGCCAGCTCCGCACCACCAGCAGGGCAGCGGGGATGGCCCAGGAGGAGGAGGAGATGGCCGTGCAGCACGGCCCCACTGCCAGCGCACAGCGGCTCCCACCCCAGCGCCACGCAGGGCCCACCCGTCAGGCCATTTCCACCCAGGGCCAGGTCACAGGCAGGTGTCTTACTCAAGAGATCCTTCATCATTGCAGCTCAAAGTGCCAGCGTCCCTGTGGTCCTGACAAATCTCTATTGGCAATAAAGCCTGTAACACGCTGCAAACAACAACAACTTTAACAACTATAACTGAAAACTATCAACAGACTGAAAGCCTGCTTCCTTCTTGACCTGTAAGAGGAGTATTCGGCACGGATCTCCACTCCAGCAATCCCATCCAAGAAATACCCCTTCCTGGGCAGAAAACCAAAACTTTGTTTAGTTCTGGGAAGAGAAGCTATAAAAATGACAACAATGCAGGCTTCAGGGCACAGCCCGCACAGGGAGCACACGAGGCCAGAGGGAGCTAATGGCCATGCTGTGCTCAGGGGCAACACTGGCTTTTCAGCAGCGCAGACTCAGTCCTTTCCCAAAGCAAGCCCCGCTGGGCAAAGCCTAGCACTGATGCTGCCAAAACGAAATGCATTTCTGAACACACAGGCTGCAGAGCAAGCGTTTAAAAGGGACGGGCAAAGTTCGTTCTCCACGTGCTGCCTGCGAGGACCACACAGCTCACGTTTCTTGCCGCCCTTTGGAAATACTCTCCGCTTGATACATTAATAAAATCAAACAAGGAACAGAGCACTTCCAAGCACTTCTCCATGACAGCCAGCAGCTGAAGAATGCGTCTGAACTTTGAACTTAATGTGCAACTGACCAGTTACCGGCACTCTCTCTAATCACAGCATCGCTAAGAGGATCAGACCCAATCCAGCTAAATAAAAAAACCACACAGTGAGTTTCAAAAGTGCAGGCCAAAACCCTGGGCTGTGATCTTGACTGTGACAGTGACTCACATACACAGTGGCCAAAGAGTCACTTTCTATATCCTCATTTGCAGCCTGGGGAATCACCGTCCATCGCCCAAGATGAACTAGTTATTATGCTTTCACAGAGTTTTAAAGAAGCCTTATTTGTTTTCTAAGTATTATTTTAATTCCACAGTACTGTAAGTGAACCACTGGAAAAATACTTAGAACTTAAATCAGCAGCAAGTTGAGTATTTTTCTAAATAGGTCATACTCACTGTTGGCTCTCAGCTGCTACAGCAGTCCAAGTTCTCAAGAACAGTAAAATCTACATACACCCTTTGACAACAAAAACCACACTCAAAACATACTTTTTCACAGGTAAATACTTTTTTTTTTTTTTTTTTTAAAAAAGACTCTTTTACTTTCTCCATACCTATAACAGTATCTTGTCACATTCACAAATTACAGTCTTCCACTACCGATCTTCATACTGTGGATTTCTGAACATGGTGCACTTTCCTTACATTCACAGACCACAAAAACCTGTTGCAGTCTGTATGATTATTTACCACTCCACATTCCTGGTACACTCCGTACCAACTGCAATGTCACTTAACATATTAAGGCACAATGAAGAACAGCAGGAAAACAGTACAGGTACATGCAAGCAATGTCACTTCCCAGCTAACCTGGGCAACGGGCAGTAAAGTGTTCCATCTCTGGCAGCTTCACCTAAAGAAATCTGGGTTTGTCAGAACAGGGTACGCAATAAATGGATCCTGAACACTAAGTGAAGTATACGCCTAGAGGCAGAGCCTCCACCACACAAAAATCTATGGCACAGAATGTAGCAGTGACAATAAAAGCAAATACATTGAAAAGATAAGCAATGCTGATCCAAAAGTAAAGAACTACTCTTTTTTTGGTGAACTATCAAGCTATCATATTAATAACTGAACCTTTATTTCTCTGCTGCTCTAAAGCAGGATATTTATTACTATTAATTCTGTTGCAGTAGTACCTTGGCACCCCAGGAGAGCTCTAGGTCTCACTGTACTAGGCATTATATTAACAAAAAATTACTAACGCTTGGTATAAACAGAGATGAATAACAAGGATCGTATCAGTCAAGGAAGACTTCATCTTCCAAAAGTCTCTGTGGATGCCACTGCACACAGCTTGTGCTAGACCAATGTGTATTTTCTCCTTTTTGTGTCTGTAGCTGAGAATCACCCTTTGTTTCTGCGTCTCATGAAGATCTCCCGTAAAAGTGCAACAGCAGAGAGTTACCTACAAACATATAAACTGAAAGAAGAAAAATATTATATGTGGCTACTTGCAGATGTCTTGAGAGTTACAAATTGCGACTGAAATATTCCTGGAAAAAACCACTAAGTCCAGGTGTTCAAAGTGCTTGTTCAAGAAAAAGGATGAGTTTCACCTGCCACTTAACTTTGCTAAGGTCTGCATTGTCACATCCCAGAGAGGTGAGCGCGGTACACGCACCTCTGCTTAACCGCTGGAACCGGGTCACTCCCCACGGGATTAAGCCCATGAAACAGATTCCCATATAGCATCTCCCATACCTTGTATCTGTCCATAGGATCTTCCTGCTGCAGCTGACTCTCTCGCATTGTTTGGTACTCTCTCTCATATTTCTTCAGCTTTTTTGTTGGCACCTGTGGAAAAGATTTGGAAAACATGCATTTAAAGATTAGAGGCACACCGGAAAGGCTGCCTGAAAGCTCCCCTTGCGAACAGGAAGACAAGGAAGTGCTGGAAAGCTGCTGCTGAATAAAGTCTCTCCCCGTTGCCCCCCCTTCCCTACTCAGCAAGCCACGTCAAACACTTGCCAATACAGTTCACATTCACAGAAATCTTCCTGTGCCTACTGCTGTTAATGATTCAAATATTTAAAGGAAAACAAGAGAGAGGTAGAGACATTTTAATAAGAGTAACAAGAAGAAAAGCCTGAACAACAGGAGTGAGAGAGCAGGGAAGAGGAAAATATGCTTTGATGTATCACGATTCATCAAAACAATGCCTTAACAAGAAAACTGATAAAAGTGAGATTAAAAGAAAGGAGTGTTCAAACAAAAGGACTGGACAGTTCCCTGGGGGAGATCCGAGTAATGGTTTTATTGCTGAAAGAGCATTAATGTCTAAATGATAGCTTGTGACCAATGCTCTCATGAAGTCTGGCCTCAGACTCCTCCTAGGCAAAGGTGGAAAAGCTGCAGTGCTCGCTTCCAGCCGCAGCAGGGAAACAGTGAGGCGACTACATAGAAATCACAAGGAAATTCAGTAAACAACCAGGCAGAAAGGTCAAGTCCTAGACAGCCTGATTCTGGGAAAACAGCTTCAACTTAAAACAAGGTACACAAAGAACACCTGTGTTCTTTTAAACAAAGCATGGAGATCCTCTGCTTTACTTTCACCTTTTAATTGGGTGCACAGTGCTATATGAGCCATCCCATCCCTCTCTGGAGACCTTTGATGGCATTACTCTGTCCCCACCACAGAACAACAAGAAACCGGCCCTGTTAAGTGTCAGATCATCTACTGGCAGCTAGAGAGATCCCTAACGCCATGTACCATCACGACTTGTGAACATACGCTTTTCCTGGAGCTGTTATGTATCTATCTGTTCCTCTTGCCTATATTGATCATGTGTAGCTGACTCCTGGTGCAAGGACATGCCACTGTCACCTTGCCTTAGGGCAAAAAATCACCGCCAATGAGCAGAGATATGTGTTTACATGTAGTTTTGGTGTTGTTTTCCCTTGATCGGTTTTCAGCCTAATACCTCCTTCCTCTGCAGTACAGGAAGGAGCCAAGAAGTGCTCTGCAGTGTCACTGCAAAGGCCTCTGGGAGGTACAGGGAGAAAATGTGAAACCCATGATCTGCAAAGCACAGTGCACAGAGAGCACTAGTAAAGCAGCACTAATGCCCACAATCACTGATGAAACCTTAAACCAACCCCTCAAAGGAAAACAAGGAGAAAAGAGTAAACATAAAAACATGAAGCACTTTGGACAAACACACAAGTGAATCTCACTTTGATGACTCTTAATAGCACAAAACACAAGGAAATGAAAATGATTAAATCAGAGGCACTTTTTTACATTTCAACCAAGCAACATTCAAGATGCAAACCCAGCCCATTTTGTCTTAGCTGCAACTTGGAACTGTTGAGACTACTTAATATTCAAGAATAAGAAATCATTTCAAAGTGGTACTCTAAATGAAGCGAACCAATCACACATTGAAAGCCTCCTCCTTCCATGATGCTTACTGGGATCTTACTCAAAGAACCAGATCAAGGCTCCCAGGCTGGGATGTTACAAGGACACCCTCCAAATCTAGCTCTCCTAGGAGGAGTTTTGTGCTCCGATATGCAACCAGCAGAAAATGAAGATAAATATGATGGAGACATTGTGGTGCAGTATCGCAGAAAGGTGCACCACAGGTGTAACTTAGAAGATGATCCGTTCAACCACAGATTGTCCTGACTCTTGGTGCTTTTCATGAAAGCCTTTGAAGTACACATAAGAAGTGAGACTTACTACGCACACCGAGAGAGAAGCCTCCCACCCATGCAGCCACACAAATGTTTCAGTAAGAATCCTGCCATCTGGAGGAACAGGAGATGCAAGATAGGGAGAAAATTGTGGAAAGGGAAGGTAAAAACTGCACAACCACAAACTTTTTTCCCCCAGCAGTTCCCCCATGCGCAGGGGAGCCCCCCATGTTTACTCAAGTGGTGTCAGGGACTGCCTCCACTGACCACTGCCAGCGACCCACCAACAGCTTCACCTTTACAGCTGCCTGGGGCAGCATTCCTCTTTTCCTTTTAAGCATGAGATTTGCATAAATTACCTGTGAATGAAAATCATCGTTCTCTCCATAATTCAGGAGATGAGGCAAAATACAGCATAAAGGTAATGATCCGAGTTAGTAACTCTTACTGAGAGAGCAAATGGGACACCAAGCACCGCTGTGACCCAAATGCCTACGCTGAGCACTGTGGCACAGCTGTCCCTCACCAGGCTGAGCCTGTCCATGAAGAGATGACTGCTGCTTCTTGGTAACACAACCTCATGTGCAGCAGCCAGCAGCACGCCTTTCTTCTTGCTTGGTTTTTAAATGTTAATTTTTTAAGCTGCCTGAGAGCAGCCTTATTTCTCTGGTTTCACACTGTATTCTGTATTGAGACAACACAGAACTTAACTTGGACAGAGTCTATTTGGCACTTAATCACCTGCCTCAACAACAGCAGAAACTAATCTGAACATGTCACATCAAAAACCGTATGATGAGCAGGGGAGAATGAGAGTCAGCTGCTTTGTTTAACTCTGCTGCCCACCATCTTCACAGTCCCTGTTTCCACTCACTGACAATTCACGACCATTCCTTCATGCCTGGTAATCCTTCCCACCAACCGTTCTTACCTGTATGTTCTCCTTTACTGCCTTAAATTTTAATTCATAGCTGTAAGTAGGACCACAAGTGGGTCCTCTGGCTGTATGAGGGATAAGGTCCCTCTTTCACCACTACAGGAGCTATCCCTGACCGTGGCCTGGGATCAGGGGCAGGCCTGGTACGCTCTGCAGCAAGCAAATGGCACGGCAACACTTTCTTACCAATGTGTACAGCAGGTAATACCTGAAACAGGGATCAAATCACAAAAGGTGTAAGCATCAGGGTGTAAGGGAGTATGCTGTGACACAGAAAATGGCTTCTGTGCTTCCTGAAAGTACATCACGACTTATGCATGTTAGCATCTATTTACGCTACAACCTTCTCCTAACTGGAAAGTAGTGCCTAAATACAGTGAAAGTCTATCTCAAAGGGTTGGGGGAGGGGAGAGAAAATTCCTATTAGAAATCCAGTCCGTAGTAATCCACTTATCCCATAAAATATAAACTGGAGCAGGTATGCTTAATAACTTTGGCAGGGACTATGCTTCACTGTTACTGTCTATTCAGCCACATTACTCAAAGGAGTTTGATAATTTATTACAGCACTTTCTTCTGGGTATACACTGATAAATGAAAAAAGAAAAATTTAAAAGCCCATTTCCATATTCCCCAATTTAATTCCCTGAAACAGTTTGTGAATTCAACAAGGGACTTCTCTGTAAGCGCCTTCATAAGTGCATAGTGCTAGCTATGCTTCAGTCTTCATGGATTGCTCCTGAACAAAGTGTGCTCATAAATTTGCTGTAAAAGCTTCTGATATACTGATTTCTTCTTTCTTTAGCATCATGGGGTATATTGGCTAGAACTGATGGTTATCAAATTTAGGGGACTCTTACGGTTTATAAACATTGCTCATCTGTTTATCTCAGTATCTTATCTCCTTGACTTGTTTTATTTTATTGTGTTCAAGCATAAAATCATGTCACAACCAGTTGTACGTAGAGAAAAAGCCATGCAGAGCATCTTAATAAAACATCCACACAGAAGAAATGAACAAGCAAAACCTCTTTCTGAAAACAGATTACTGCACTGAACACTCAGAGGACTCACTGCAGTGAGCTAATATGTGGCAGGTGAGAAACAAAAATACTTTGTTTTTAGCTGCCCCCCTGTTCAGACAGGGCTGGAAAGATCTGCTTCACCTTCTCTGGCAATCCTGCGCACGGGCAACGTGCCGAGCATCGGCATCCGCTCAGCTCCAGAAGACCTTTCCCTCATTCTGCAATTTCTTTAGCTGTTTACAGACAGCTCGGCCTGACCTTGCTGGATTAATAAATCACACATCTATCACTCCTTCCTCTGAAATGTTTTATTGCTCTAATGAAGCACGAGCACTCAGAGGAGGTAGTTATCATTATGTTGATTTGACAGCCAAGGAAATGGAAGCAGAGATGTAAAGTGATTTCCTGAACATACTGAAGACAGCCAGAGGCTGATCCAGACAGAAAAAAATCATATTACTCGATTTCTGATTTCCAGCACCGCGACAATGCCAGAATGAGCAGAGTATCTCTTTCCCAGATTCCCACTTTTCTCTATCTAGCACTGCATAAACACTCCAAAAATATATTGTCCCATCACACTAACAGTGTAGCCAGTATTCCCTGATCTCTGCACTCTTAGTATTTTTCTTCTCTAGTTCTCACCTCAATATGGAAGGAAAACAAAAAGATAAAAGCCAATTAACAAAATGTGCAATGCTTTCCTTTCCCGTTCTGTAAAGCAGGTGACTTAATTTTCTGTTTCACTAGCAATGGATTTGCTTGGTATTTCAAGATGGAGGTGGGGAACTTGCACCCCTCCAGAGGCAGGGTTACACTGTGTGCTGATGACTGATGCAGGGGACTCCCGAGCTTGCTTTGGGCGAGCACTGATAGCAACCACAGACACTGGCTGCAGCCCAGCTTCCCTTTTATCCATCCATCACATGCATCCCAGTCCGCAAACCCCATGATAAGCTCAGACTCTTCCCACTACTGCAAAACAGGACCATGTCCAAGCACACATAATGCCTGGGTGCCCGGCTCAGAGGTGACCGGACCCACCTGAGCCCAGCCTGAGCTCACTCAGACTTGGCTCAGCACTTGCATGCAGCCAGGAGTACTGGCTGCAAGAGGCTCTCACAAAACCATTGCTATGTGTGCCCCTTTTGAAGGGATCCGAGTTACACTTGTGATTTAAAACAAATATTAAAAGC